CTCAGATGAAGAGTGGGAGGACTCCTATAAAAAATAGTGATGTGACATCAGGACCTCAGGAAATGCCACCTCCACCCCATCCCGTGTCCCCTGTATGAGTTTCATGAAATGACTGACAGCTTAGGAACCTCAAGTCCATTGCTGGCATCCCAAATGAGAACAGTTGTTCCTCACACATAACATTCTGGTTTCCTAATGTTGACGAATGGTGGAAGGAATGACTACGACTCTCTGATCCTTGAATGTTGGTGTTTGCCTGGCCTTGGGGCCAAAAAAATATTTAGATGCCTAAAATGGTGACTCTTGTCCTTATCTGAGTAAGGAATTTGCTTGTATCTAATGATCGTCTTGCAGTGCCTAAAGAGAAGATAAGGAATCTGCAGGAATGTATAAGGACACATGAAAACCATCTGAATACACAGAGGGATGGACAGACACACATTCCCCTGGGGTAAATGCTATGACAGGTAAGCTGCTCTGGGCCTGAGGAAGATCCACACCTACCTAACCATCCTGAGTAGCAGAGTTCTCCTAAAACTGTCAGGCAGTATGCCATCTGATGTGGCCTTTGGAGATGGAGCAGCATGAGTTTTGTTTGTTTGTTTGTTTTAACTGAAATATGTAAAAGTTGAATTAGCACACTTGAATTTAAAAAGAAATCATTGGCTAGGGAAGGTGGTTTATATCTGTAATCCCAACACTTTGAGAAGCTCAAGTGGGAGGGTCACTTGAGCCCAGGAGTTTATGACCAGTCTCAGTAACATAGTGAGACCGCATCTCTACAAATAATAATAATAATAATAATGAATTAGCCAGATGTGGTAGTGTGTGCCTGCGGTCCTAGCCACTCGGAAGGCTGAGGTGGGAGGATCACTTAAGCCCAGGAGGTTGAGGCTGCAATAAGCTATGACTGTGCCACTGTACTCCAGTCTGGGTGACAGAGTAAGACCTTGTCTCAAAATGAATAAATGAATGAATGAATGTGTTTCCTTGTGGTTTATCCTTAAAGCTGTATCTATTAACCTTTTATCATAATTATTGCTTATGAGCTATAAGAACTTTTTGGTTAAAAGAAAGTACATCCATTTCATTCTATTCTGCAGCATGTTTTGTCAAGTTTGCTAGTGACAAAGCAGAAAAAAAAAAGTGTTATTACTAACAACTTGATGAGAAAGGATCTTTTATTTTGTCCCCTTTCCCCCCATGCCCAGCCTGGTTTCTGAGACCAAGTACATTGTCTGGTATCTATCATCTAATTTTCTTGCATGGGATGTTAAAAAAAAAAAGAAAACAAATTTCTCCAGCATTTTTACGTCTTCCTCACAAAGACAGGCGCAAATCTCAAATCTGCTTTAATCATCTGCCTCATGACAAGTCCACAGATTCTCCAAATAACTGTCTCAAATCAGATTAACATTTTAATTCCACGTTGGAAGATCAAGTCAGAATGCCTCTGGTGATTTCAGGGTCCCTTCTCGTTCTGTTCTAAAGACAGCTTCTATGGCATTCATTCCAGGATCAGTGGCTGGATTAGAGGAAAAAGACAGAAAACGGTTGTTGCAAGGGTGTCAACTGCTTGGAATGCTGCCGGCTACCAGGTTCTGAGGTTGCTAACCAGGGCTTGTGAGGAGTGACATGCTTGCACTTTGGGGAAATAACTCCAAAGGAGCCACCTCCTCTGTGTTGGGATTGAGTTGCATCTAGAACAGGCTCCTTGGCCAGCTTTCTTCTATGTGGAAATGGAACCCTTAATAGGCCAAAGTGTGGATGGCTCTGCAGAATGTGGGCCACACTTTGTTTTTGTTTTGAGACAAAGTCTCACTCTGTTACCCAGGTGGGAATGCAGTGGTGCAATCTCAGCTCTCTGCAACCTCTGCCTCCCAAGTTCAAGCGATTCTCTTGCCTCAGCCTCCAGAGTAGCTGGAATTACAGGTGTGCCATCACCATGCCTGGCTAGTTTTTGTATGAGATGGGGTTTCACCATATGGGCCAGGCTGGTCTCAAACTCCTGACCTCAGGTGATCTGCCCACCTCAGCCTCCCAAAGTGCTGGGATTACAGGTGTGAGTCACTGTGCCCAGCCCACACTTTGTATTAAAGCAACATGGTTATTGTTAAACTTCTGCCAGCAGGCTGCTGACACTTTGTTGACAATTTACTCTCTTCTTACCTACTTTCTCCCACTCAGCTTCCAAGTTCTCAGGGTTACCTGTCCACACCCACTTTCCTCCTAATCTACTCTCAGGATGTCTGGGAGCATGGCCCAAGAATAGGGAGTGATATCAAAGGGTAGAAAGGGGTTACAGACTGAACAGGGAGTTGCATCTGGGCTGAAAGAAGCTAATGAGTGCTCACCAGACTCCCCAGGCTTTCTGAAGGCATCTGAATGTCTGTCCAGCTGCAAGCTACATCATGGAAACAGGACCGTCCTGAGGGGCTCTCCAGTACGAATGCCAGGGCTGCCAAATTCTGCAAACAAGAATAAAGGGCATCCAATGAGTTCTGAATTTCAGAGAAGCAATATTTGTTTCAGTATAAGTATGTCCTGTGTAATATTCAGGCCCTTTTTTTTCTAGCGTATGTTCCTATGTAATATTTGGGACATACTTACATTTAAAAAAATTTATTGTTGATTTGGAATTCAAATTTGGGCATTCTGTATTTGATCTGGCAACCTCAATCCAGACCTGGTGCTCAATAAGGAAAACAAAACAAAATTAAACAAAAGCCTTGTTTGAGATCTATAATAAATGGCCACGAGAGGCAAATATATATTTGTAAATAATATCATACATTAAATACATATAATATATATTCTATATATATTATAATATATAATTGGATATGTTATATAATTATATTTACAAATATATTAAATATAACTATATCAATATGTTATATTAAATATATAAATATATCAACATGTTATATTAAATATATAAATATATTTAATGTAATTATAGAATAACTATATAATTATATTAAATATAATTATATTTAATATAACACTATATTAATATATATTAAATATATATGCTAAATATATATATGTATGTATGTATATATAATTAATTTCCAAAGTTTTCTGAATTTTTATTGGTTCTTTAAAGTGTTCTCCACCATTCTTCCTCAGGAATTTGGAACTCCATGTGACTTTTCCAGCAGTGGGTCCTATTCATGCTCACACTCCATTTCACAGAAGGTTTGCTTTCTGAAGTCCCTCTTTCCTTGTGGCTAACATAGAGTCTAGGTTTAGCCAACTTGGTTATCATTTCTTCATTCCCTTATGAACTCAGCCAGTTTTGTCATTCTGTCACCAGCAACGGCCACCCAAGTAAATGAAGGCAGTTAGGCAGGGTGGGGACTGTGGCAAACTGTTGAGAAGTTCAAAGCCCTAAATGTTTTATGTTCAGGTATATCTATATTGTATGCAGTGTCCAGGTCAAACAAGTCTCAAACCCCTTAGTGGCTCTACGGCTGTCACTCTCCACCCTGGTACTGCAGTCCACATTCTCTTTGTGTTCCCGTGCAATCCTATGTTTATTTTTATTGCAGCACTTGCCAGACTTGATCTTGTTTCTTAGCTGGTCAGTTTCCCCCATTTTACTGTAAAGTATTGGAAGGGGTCCCTGCCTGAGTCATCTTTGTATACTAAGAGAGTAGGACAAGCTTGCTTGGGATCTAACAGGGGCTCAATGGATGGTTGAGTAAGGAATTGGCTTTTATCTAATAATCCTCCAGCAGCATCTAAGGAGAAGAGAGGCAATCCGTGAGCATGTATAATGACAAATGAAAACCATCTGAACACACAGTGATGGACAGGCATACATTTTCCTGGGCTAAATGCTGTGACAGCTGGGGAAGGCCCACACCCACTGATATGGTTTGCTGTGTCCTCACCCAAATCTCATCTTGAATTGTAGCTCCCATAATTCCCACATGTCACGGGAAGGGCCTGATGGGAGGTAATTGAATCATGGGGGTGGATCTTTCCCTTGCTGTTCTCGTGATAGTAAGTCTCACAAGATCTGACGGTTTTATTAAGGGGAGTTCCACAGCACACACTCTCTCTTGCCTTGCCACAATGCAAGACGTGACTTTACTCATCCTTTGCCTTCTGCCATCCTTGTGAGGCCTCCCCAGCCATGTGGAACTGTGAGTCCATTAAACCTCTTTCCTTTATAAATTACCCAGTCTTGGATATGTCTTCATTAGCAGCATGAGAACTGACTAATAATACATCCACCTAACCAACCTCAGTAGCAGAGTTTTCCAAAAACTGACAGGCAGTATGCCATCCAAAATAGCCTTTGGAGATAAAGCAGCACGAGTTATTATTTTGATTGAAATATGTAAAATTAGAATTAGTGCACGTGGACTTAAATTGCAGAGGATTCACTGTGTTTCCTTGTGGTTTATCTTTAAATCTGTATCTAATTGCCCTTTTATCATAATTATTGCTCATAAGGAGTCTTTGATTAAAAGAAATAAACTCAAGACTGGGCATGTAGCTTGAGGAATAAATGTGGACTCTGCTTCACCCATTTCCATGATTGCTTCAACTCTGGGATGGGGGAGGTATGAAGGAACCATATGGGGCCTCCATACTTAAGGGACCTTGACTTCCACATAAGCTTGTGTGTGCATGTACACATGGAGGCATCCTTACTCTGAAGCCAGAGGAAAATAAGAAGTGCTCCAGCTGTAATATTTCTTCTTCTTGGGGATAAAGGGTTGTGTGAAAATGAGCACAAACACCCACGTTCTTTTCTCTCTTCCCACAGAAGCATCTGTAGGAGTGTGTTCATCTGAGTCTGCATGGGCCCTGGCTGTCCAGGAAAAAGTCTCAAATATGTTGTCCCCTTTTGTATTAACTGCTGCTGTTTACACTCCTCTCTTGTTTCACTTTTTAGAAAATAATATAAAAAGAAAATGCTCATCATCCTATTTTGTTTAACATTTATCTTTTTTTGTTTTTCTGCACCTTTCTTTCTTTACAAGGTTTTACTCTGTCACCCAAGCTGAAATTCAGTGGTGTGATCACAGCTCACTGCAATCTTGAACTCCTGGACTCTGACAGGTATACACCACCATACCCAGCTAATTTTGAAATTTCCTGTACAGCTGGGATCTTGCTGTGTTGCCCAGGCTGGTCTTGAACTCCTGGTCTTAGGCAATCCTTCCATCTCAGCCTCCCAAAGGGCTGGGACTACAGGAATGAGCCACTGCTTCTGGCCATTTTCTGCAACTTCAGTAAGCAGTCAGAATCATGACCCAGAAAAGGGTAAATTTGTTTAAACCATTCCCATTTAAATTCATGAAAACATTTCACATTCAATTATGCAGTCCCTTGTTTGTTTCTGTTTCTCCTCCACACAGTGGGAACTTTGGCCACCTTTTGGTGCTAATCAGGACCAAGGCACAGGTTCAATTCTTGTTTCGGCCATTTGGATTGCATGGGGAAATTTTCTGGATTGGGGACCACAGGGCAAAATCTGAATCTTGGTCAATCTTCTTGGAAATGCATCAGAAACAGAGTGTGCATGACTCAGTCCATTGGCTCCGCTGAGAAGCAGCTAAAAAGTAAAGCTGCTCTCATGGTGTTGGTGGTGGGGACCGGGCAAATAGGCAAGAATGGAACACGTTTTTGACCCAACTGGCTTGATATCATGTGCTCCTTCCAAGGCAGGGTATAAAATGTACCCTCTGCAGTCTCATCCCAGAGACTGACCCTGAAAATGTCCTTAAGCCTGACCCCCAATCTCTTTGTTGTATCTTGCCTTTGATTGGCATCTTATGCTTCAATTTAATGACTTGATGCTTTAAATAGTACCTTGTTCCTTAGCCTAGGTTGGAACACACCATTCATTCATTCACAAAGTAATTTACTCCAACAACTAATGATTTAGCATCGCCCACATCTAGACCTGGAAGAAGATGCCTTAACAAATGAGACAGACACAGTTCATATTGTCAGAAACCTGACATTCCAGCAGCATGAGACAAAGACAAAGAGTATGACATGCAGATTTATTCACCAGTGGAGGGAGGTGAAAAAAAGGAAGGCAAATAGAGGAAGGGGATATAGAGAAGGACAGGGTGTTGGTCGGGGAAAAATACAGTGCCTGGGTTAAGCACATGGGTTCTGAAGCTAGACTGCCTAGGTTTGAATCTTGTCTCAATATCTACTAGTGTGTGAGCTTAGAAGAATTAACTTGCTTGTGTCTCTGTTACAACATCCATAAAATGGACTAATAATGATACCATTTTATTGGTTTCTTGTGAGATTTAGATGAGTAAATACATGTCAAAAAGTGAGAATCGGGTCTGGCTCTGTGAGTGTTAGCTGTTCCTCGTTGTTCTTGCCCTCTGCCTACTCCTTTGCTCACCATGGCTGCAGACCCCCAGGCCCGTTTCCACATAATCCCAGTTTATCCAGAAATAATTGGTTCTTGAAATAAAATTCATTTTAGATGCCTAGGGAGGAGAAAATTATTTCTAAGATTTCCTTCCATGCCAACAGGAGGGGAAAACAGGATTTAACTTTGAAGATTCCTTTTCACAGATGATTTAGAAAGAAGGGAGATTTAAAATGTTGTTTAGCAATTGTTTTTTTTTTTTTTTTTTTTTTTTTTTTTTTTTTAAATAACGCTACAAAGCTACACTGTGTAAAATTGTTGATATTTACTGTTGGCCTAAAAACTCAGCAATTTCACATGGTTAAACTAATTAAACAAGTAGATATTAGGCTAGATTTCTTACTTTTTAAACAACTGACCATCTCATGGCATCAACCTTATTTACTCACTTCTAATAAATAAGTGCTGATTGACCCTTCCTGGTGCTCTGTGCCATGACTCAGAAGTGAAGTTAGGTTCAGCATTTTTTGTGTGTGAAAACATCTCATCTTTTAAAAATATTCTAAGTCTGTGTGATATATTTTTCTTAATACAATTATTTTCCATCTTTAACTTGCACTGACTTTCATCAGGGAGCCACTAATTTATTTTCAAGTACAGATAAAACTGCCAGAAATAAAATATTATTAGTATCATTGCCCATGAGAAGAATTGTTAGTACACTTTTTTCTTTTTTTTCACAGAAAAATTTAACAGGTTTATTTATAATTATCATAACGTTGAACCACTGAAACTTGTTCACTGAAACATTTTAACTTGCATTAATGCTTCATGTTTCCAAATTTTTTTTTTTTGAGACGGAGTTTCGCTCTTGTTACCCAGGCTGGAGTGCAATGGCGCGATTTCGGCTCACCGCAACCTCCACCTCCTGGGTTCACACAATTCTCCTGTCTCAGCCTCCTGAGTAGCTGGTATTACAGGCTCGCGCCACCATGCCCAGCTAATTTTTTGTATTTTTAGTAGAGACGGGGTTTCACCATGTTGACCAGGATGGTCTCGATCTCTCAACCTCATGATCCACCCATCTCGGCCTCCCAACATGTTTCCACATTTATATAAAAAATTCACACACAAATGAAAATGGAAAAACTGCCAATACCTTTTTTCTGTCCCCTATTTTTCTACTCGCAATCATATGCTTAGGTACCTTTTGATCCCATGGAAAAAAAATTATCTAACGTTCAGAACTACCAATAACAGGAAGAAGATAATTTTTTTTTAATGAAATGTTTCCCATTGTAGTGGATTCTTAAGCACATTCTCCACATATGTGGCGTGCTAGTTGGATGTCTTTTGGCATAATTGTTACACGTTTGACAAGGATAGCACAAAGGTTGGTGTCTTCAAAAAGGCCAACCAGATAAGCCACACTGGCCTCCTGCAAAGCACCGATAGCTGCACTCTGGAAGCACAGATCTGTTTGAAAGTCCTGAGCAGTTTTTGCAGCAGATGCTGGAAGGGAAGTTTGCGAATAAGAGTTTCAGTGGATTTCTGATAATGTCTGATTTCATGGAGTGCCAAGTATACTTTTTTCTACATCATAGATTAGGAATAGGTAGGTAGGTAGGTAGGTAGGTAGGTAGAGAGATGAATAGATAGGGAGGGAGGTAGGGGTTATTACATCTTTCACTTCCACTCCAAACCTTGTTATGCTAATATTTAATTCTACCTTTATTCCTTATAATGTTGGTAAATCTTTGTCATAAAGAAAAATTACTTATACTAGTCTGGAGCCAATTATTTAAGTTAGGTGATCGAGAAAATGGTTTCTAGATATGTTTATACACAGATAGAAACACTAAACTAATAGATCATCCCTTAAGGACATTTCACTTTTTGTATTTACGTGTGATACTTCAGTGAAAGGCTGAAAACATCCACCTCAAAGCAGCTGTATCTGGCTCTTGGTCTCTCTGGTTCCAGCCTTTCGGGCTCTCTTTGTTTTTGTCACTGTTTCTCTCTGGCTTCCCCTTCTTCTTTTCCCCAAAATTCATGATCAGAAAACCTCCAAAAGGATAGAGACTCACGGATGGACGGTTAGTGTGTGAGCATCCCTGAGTTAGAGTGGCAGGAAGCGTGACCAAACAATTCATTACCCATGTGCTTAGCATCTCAAAGGTCACATGGGTTACCTGACAGCCCCTAATTAGCGGGTGTGAAACATATTTTTTTCCCCAGGCTACTGAGCTAAAGTGAAGACTTCATTCTTGCTATAGATTGATAGAGAAAAGTGGGTCCCTGGCATAGCCTGGCTTGCAGGCAGCAGAAGGCTACTTTGGAACACCCCTCCGAAGGTCATTCAAATATTTCTATATCTGGAAACAGTCAGTGTTTTTTATATGGACAGAAAGCCAAATCTGTGATTAAAAATGCCATAGAGCTACCTTCTGTTTCAACAAAGTCTGCAATCTTAAAACCAAAATAAAAAAATAATAATTTTATTTTAAATTCAGATATGATACAAATCTAGTTTCTTTAGGAAGGAATTTTTCTCCCATTGGACATTTTAGATATTTATTAAAAAGAAAGTATAGACATTCTCAAGAAAGCCTATCCTTATATTTTGAATAAATAATTGATTTTTTAAAAAGCTCTTTCAGCAAGAATTTATTGAGTTCTTATTGTGGGCAAAGTGCCAGGTCAGGCATTGGAAAATTTCCTCCGCACACCGGATGGCGAGTAGGTTTTCTTTTTGGTGGTGTTTTGGTTTAAATCTGTACAGCTCTCTCTCATGTTCAACAATAAATGTGCTCCTGAAAAATTGTATGTAAATTGCATTTTCAAAAATGGAGTCCATTTAGAGTATTAGTAATCAATTTGCATTTATGTGAATTTTCAGTTATTTAGTTAATGAACTATATAATGAATAGTTAAAAGTTCCTTTGGAGTTTCTCAACCTTGGTACTATGAATATTTTGGGTTGACAAATTTTTTTTTATCTTAGGGCTGTCTTATGTACTATAAAATGGCTAACAGCATTCCTGGCCTCTACCAAAAATGTCTCTAAACATTGCTGAATGTCTCCTGGAGGGCAAAATCACCCCCAGATAAGAACCACGACTATAGGATAAAGTGTATGAATTTTGAAAGAGAGATTAGGTAAGAGAAATATTCTTTTAGTGTCTTAATTAGTAAAATAACTCTCAATTGCAAAAATTGTCTTTCACTGTAATTAAATAAGTATATATTCATATTTCCTCAGTAACTAAGTTCAATGATAGCAAAAGCATTATGATTAGACAACATTTATTATGATTACACAGTATCACCCTTCAGTTTCAAAAACTTTCAGTATTCTAACGAATTACAGCAATAATTGATTGTCCAATAAAAACAAAAACTCCCTCCATATGTTATCAATTTTATCACTCAAATAGTCACAGCCCGACTGTAAGAAATATTGAGAGTTTTAGTTCCCTGCCAGGCGACTTTCTGAGTGGCTTGCAAAGTAGATTTACACTGGAATGAAAATGGGTAGGAAGGGTCCTGTGCGTAGTCTTATTCTTTCTCGTGTCTTCCTGCATTTGACCTTTTATAACCAGAACTTCCTGATCCCTAACTCCTAAGAAAATAACACTTCTTCTTAAGATTAAATGGAAATTCATTTGTTGAGTCAGAAAACACATCCAAACATACCGTTAGAACCTAGACACTAGTCGTT